ACGTACTGATTAATAACATACTTCTAGGGCTTAATAAAACTATTAAAACTAATAATACCAGTTTAATAGGTACACTATTATTATTTATTGCATTATCATTATGAATTATTAAGTCTAATGAGTTACTATACACGTACTCCACACACGTTTTTCGTACTCAATTGATACTTTAACAAACTATATAAATTTATATGATATTTAAAACGTACGATCAAACTAGTGCCCAGTTCACAGTTGCACACCTACTTACCCACCTACTTACCCACCCACCCCTATTTTCCCTGAGGCAATTGCCTCAAAAAATAGCTGTTCAGCACGCCACTGCTTCTACACTTATACATTTCCTCATTATTGTATCGGTTTTATAAATTTTTGGACCAACTAATACTAATAACATATCAAAACATSCACTATCCATCCGTAAATAATTTTTAAAGTCGTCTGGGTAATTTTCTCGTAGTTCCGATATTAATGGCAAATGACCAAAACGCCTCCGATATTCCTTCACCCACACACTGCGAACTCGTTTCAATTTTTATCGATTTTGATCCATTATTGAAAACAATCCAACAAACGCAATAGTACGAATACGATTGTTTTCTCGAATTTTCATCATTTTGAAAAAAAAATATTTAGCTTTTTTAAAGTAAAAAACTTCCACGCGACTGCAAAACTGTTGGAATTTCGAACACTCCACGCGCCACGCTTTCACGCTTTCAAAACGTCGGGAATACACTTTAGACGAACGTTTTTAAGCAAAGGACGAATGGAAAGAAGGAAAGCGCGCGGGAAAGAATTTTACAGCAATTTGACAAGGATTGTGCGCCAGAGTATTGCGCGCAGTCAAGTCCTCGCTCAAACCCGTACGTTCCAGGAGTGAAGGAAAGATTCTACGTGTAAAGGCACCTAACACAAAGAGATTAACCAACAAAGTAAATATTAATCATATTCATAGATAAAGATAATAAATTATTAAATTATTATACCGCTGATAATATTTCTTGACCAAATGATAACAGACGCGGGACGGCCGTGAATCATTAACAAAGCTCTCTGCAGTAGAGATGTGTCGTTCGTGAACGGACTAGTTCAATTGAACTATTCTCCAAAGTGAACGATTAGGACTAGTTCACATTTAGATGAACGACGTCGTTCATCGTTCACCTACACTGTACACTGTACAGTGTACACAGAAGAACGGTTTCCAACACCTTAATAAAACGTTCACAGTGTTCGCCACCGAAGTTCGCTGAACGAGACCGTTCAGACCGCCATACCGATATTACGTTCACTACTAGAATTATGCTAACGAATGGTGATACTTTTTTTTTACTATTGTTGCGTGTCCAGTACCTACTGTTCAATGTTCATATTTAGTGAATTAATGTACATAACCATATTATATAGACTTATAGCATTTGCATACTTTGTTTAATTATTGTTAAATATAGCAGAGTGCGAAATAAATTTATTTCTCGGTGCCACGATATCGGATCTAAAATTTGAATGTGCATATTTTTGCATATCTGATAAATTTTGCAGGAAAGTGCTTATTTTAACATTTTTATGCTTATTTTGCATATTTTGGCAATTTTTTTNTTTATTACAGTTTACTGATCTTTTTATGTTTAATTACATTTTACTGATCTTTTTATGATTTATTACATTTTGTGTTCTATTTCTGATAAAGCGAGCGTTTCTGATAAWGTTTACATTTTSTGATGATTTTCTGATGAAAATCAATCTTGTGATCTTTTACTGATATTTTTATAAAAAGTGTGCTCGAGTGCCCCATATACTACTCCTATCGAATGCCGCTAAAAAGGCGTCAGTAGATAGCTCAAGAACGAAATCCAGATGAACGGCTTTGACGGCTATACAAACGAAAACAGCTATATAGACCTTGTACTCTCTAGGCTTTCGGAGGCGGCATTCCCTCATTGGAAGAGGGCCGGCATAGTCTAGTCCGACTTTGGAGAAGGGCTGACATACCTGAACGCGGGCTGCAGGCAAATCTGCCATCAGAGGTTGCGGAGATTGACCAATAGCTCGAACGCAGGTGGTGCATGACCCAATAGTCTGACGAATGACAACACGAATTGACATTATCCAAAAATTACGGGTTATCAGTGCGGTTATAACCCTGGGTCCAGAATGACACGTAACTAAATGCCAGTGTCGAACGATCAGCTTAGCTAAATGTGACGTCTTGGGTAACAGCATGGGCTGCTTCTGAAGAGTTGGTAGATCGGCGTGATGTAGTCTACCGCCAATGCGGATCATTCCGTTGGAGTCAATGAATGGGCGGAGACGAGCGTATGAGCGTGATGGGATTCGGCTCGATTCCAAGGTGACGAGTAATCCAGGCAACAATAGACGCTGAGATATTCAGACAATACTGACAAGTGACTCCTGGAGCTCAAATGTCTGCAAGAAGGCGAGTGGGTAATCCTTACGCTTACAGCGGAAAATGAAACGGCGCACCCACGATGTGACACGAAGCATGCGGTCATACGAGGAAAATCGGCAAATCCATTCAGATGGTTCACCGACGGTAAGGGATATGATTTTAGTGTCAGGTAATTGTTCCTTTGGAATGGGAGTTGCAGACGTGTCCCAAGTATCGACAGTAGCATATAAAAATCTCGGGCCACACCAGTACAACGAATGATTAATCAACTCGGAAGGTAGCATTCCCCTGGAGGCGCAATCTGCAGGATTGATAGCCGAGCGTACATATCCCCATTGACAATGTGGAAGGAGTGTATGTATTCGATGCACACGATTGGAGACAAACACTTTGAACATAGAGTGAGGTTTGACCAACCAGGACAAAACAATTTGTGAATCAGACCAAGCAAAGATAGAGTCTACGTTCAGTTTATCCTTTAATATCGTCAGAAGGCGGTACATCCACCGAGCAAGTAGGATAGCGGCACACAACTCGAGTCTAGGCACAGTGGAAGTCTTTACAGGAGCCATTTTGGTTTTGTTTTGGAGCCAAGTAGCGAGATAGAGACAGAGTGATTGTGTGTGACTGTGCGCAAGTACACTACTGCCAAGTAACCCTTTTCTGACGCATCGCAGAAGCCGCACAACTGAACGCGAAAATGCAATTGCGTGGATAGGAAGCGAGGAACCTTTACATTTGATAGTGTCGGGAGACTGTCGACAAACACGGACCAACAGTTGACCAAATCTGATGGTAGAGGGTCGTCCCAGGATACATTCGCCTTCCAAATCCTTTGCATGATATGCTTAGCATAAAAAATGACTGGAGCGAGGAATCCGATCGGGTCATAAATTCTCGCGATGGTGGATGATGTGATGATGGACATACGTTGAACCCGAACACATCCATCGAGGGATTCCATTGAAGACCCAAAACCTTGGTCACACCACCCTCCTTATCGTCGAAATGAATGACATCAGAAACACGGTCCTCCAAAGGCACGGCTGACAAGATAGATGGCAAATTACTTGACCATTTTTTAAGGTCCAGACCGGCGCGGCCCAGGACTAATTGCAAGTCTGATTGCAACCTGAGGAGCTCATTGGTAGGCTCCGACACAAACATCATCGACATATGTCAGACGCAACAACGCATCTTTAACCGTCGGAAAGTCACCGCCCTCTTGTTCTGCTATGTCTTGAAGCACTTTTAAGGCTAAGTAAGGGGCACAATTCACGCCATAGGTGACCGTGTTAAGCTGATACTCCTTCAGTTCATCCGTTGTTGACGCCCGCCAAAGTATGTGTTGAAATGACCGGTATTGTTGATGTACCACAATCTGGCGGTACATTTTACACACATCAGCAGTGAAAGTGTACTTGTGTACCCGGAACCGTAGAAGAATATCGATGATATCTTTGGGCCGGTATGCAGACATTGGTTTAACGAAAGCTTGTTCGATGCCGTTGCAGATGCATCGAAAACAACTCGTATCTTGCTCGAAGTTAGCGAGCCCTTAAACACCGGATGATGTGGTATGAAGTATGAACCTGGACAAGGGGCAACGGACATATGTCCCAACGATTCATACTCATGCATAAACTGTCTGTATGCTTGGCCTAATGTTTCATTGTCTTGGAGCTTCTTCTCCAAATTCTGAAATCGGCGCAAAGCTATTTGTCTGGAACCGGGAAACGTCTCGGAGCGGTGTTCATTTAAAAAGGGTAGCGGAACTACAAATCGTCCCGTAGAATCACGTGTCCGTTCCGAAATGTAAATACTTTCACATTGACCGTCCTTGGTGAATGTGTCTGGAACTTCGTCCGGCTCTTCCACTTGCCAAAACCGTTGGATGATGGTCTCTAAAGAGATGGTAAGTGACACAACATTAGATTGGAACGATTGAGACACAGAGCGCTGAACAGGCCCGATAATAATCCAACCAAACAAGGACCCGAAAGCAGCAGGCAACGAATCATTGAGGACAATTCTTTTACCGTCCATGACCTGGGAGTATGCATCAGCACCCAAAAGTAAGTCTATGGGATCGGAAGGGTCGAATCCTGGGTCTGCAAGCGCTAAGTGACTAAAGTGCTGTTTAACTTGAGACGCGAGAGAACAGATGGGCATGTTACCGGTGATTTTCGGAAGGATTCAAGCACTGACATGGATATGATGGTCGTCATATCGAGGAGCAATTACGCACTTGACCAAACCATCGACATTGGAAACTGCAACACCGGATACGCCTGTGAGAGGCGCGGTCCACTTCACTCGCCTTAAACCCAGCCGTTCAACACATGACGTTGACATGACGCTTATTTGTGATCCGGAATCAATAATAGCACGCACCTGCTGCATACAACCGGCATGATCTCGGACATGAAGCAAAGCAGTTCCCAATAGTACTGTAGACGTATCCCGAGCGCTGACCATTGATACTTGTGGCGGCGTTGGTTTCTCGGTTTCTTGATAATCCCTGTGGAGGAGAGTATGGTGACGACCAGAGCACTTGTCACACGGCTTGGTTACCTTACAACGATTTGACCAGTGTGTTGAGTTTAAGCACCGAAAACACACCCTTTTGTCACGGGCGGTTTGGTAACGGGCGTCCATTGACAAACCTTCAAAATTTGGGCATTGGACTGACGGATGCTCTTTAGAACAAAACAAGCATTTTAAGGTCCGATAATTCGGCTGCCTTGAAGTTTGCAGGGTTACCTTGGACCGTTTTTCATCGTAACGACGAAAAGAAGGTTTAGATCGTTCCTGTTGTGTTGGTGGACGACGTGAACTGCTGGTGAAATTGACAGCTTCCAAAAGAGACACACGATTTTTAACATACGACACGACATCAGCTGCCGTAGGGAACTCGTTATTATTGATTGCCTCGAACCCTTTACGGGTTGATAAAGGTAAACACCGTGCGGAAAGCGAGAACAACAGAAACTCACCTAGATCAGGGATGTTCAACGAGACAAGTGTTGAAACCTGGTCAGAGAAAACCGTTAAAAAATCCTTTAACCCGTCCAACGTTTCCTGGGACTGAGCTGGTATAGATATTAGTTTATCTACGATCAAAGAGGCCAGCTGTCGAGGTTTATCAAAACGTTCTACAAGTGTCGTCCACGTTAGGTCATATGTAGCGTCGGATACAACAATATTTCGAATACTATGAAGAGCCTCATCCTTGAGGCAACCTAGCAAGTAGTAGAATCGGTCAATGTTAGACAAGTCAGTGCGTTCGATTACGCGTGCATTGAACCGATCTCGAAAAACAGGCCAATCTGAAAGGTCACCGCTAAACGTGGGCAATGGTATCTCTGGCAGACGTGGCCTGCCTGAACAATTGTTATCATTAGACCGATTGGAATGTATAGATCCATTATGACTAACGTTATCATCACCTATCTGTGTTGGTTTAAGTGTTTCCGCCGCAGCGATTGCTTGAATGTACAGGGAACGAACTTCAGATTCCTTGGTTGACGAAAAATCTACAGATAAACCCAGATCCAACAACGCGTGAAGAACTGCTTGATTATCAGCCACAAATTTTTCCCACAACGAGTCTAGATCTCCCACAGCAACTAAGAATTCAGGAAGTAAATCTGGTCTAGTAATAACCTTTTTGGATAAATCATGTATGGCATGGATACGGTTAACGGTACTCTCACGGGATATGATTGCAACAGTTTTCGCACTTTGTAGTTTTATAAGTTGCCACGCGTTATCGTCTTCTGCTGCACCCGGCATTGTACGTTAATTAGAAAACTAAGTTACGTCAACAACCAAGAACCCACAAGCAGCCCGGAGATCACACACAATAAAAGGCGATACTATTTTTATACAACACAGTGACACAAATAATTATTCAACCAGAGACCGGGTAACTGGCTACATAACTATACGCTAGGTCACTAGTTGCCAGTTGGTAGCACAGTTATGAAATTAATTACTAAGTTAATTAATGGACTAGCTGTAACCCAACTACCAGTCACTCATAATACCTGACAACGCTCTGAGAAAGTAATCGAGCCAACCACGCTCTGCTACCAAATGTTGTCGCCCGTCGTGTTCTTACCGAAGCAGTTGACACGGCGTACTCGCGTTATCAGGAGAACAATAATAAAGTAATGCAAATCGGTAGGTATAGAATAATAGAATAAATTATGTATTAAACAAGTGAGCAATTTACGTCAGATGCTAATAATAATTTAAATGCAATCGACCATAGACGTCTCTAGGTCAACTACTTACACACGACGCAAAATGATAMAATTCATAATAATAATGTAAAGTGATATAATATATGATAATAGTACGGGGAGGACTTATCTCTATGTGACGGCGATGATGTTGTTATGGTACGGCGGCGGCGGCGACGGCGAGATAAATATAGGTGACCAGCTGAACGGCGGCGTAGACCGATAGTATAATAATAGTATGGAAATAGCTCGGCGGCGGCGGCGGCTGGACGACCTCGAACTTACGTAACGTGTACGCGGTGCGTTACAATAATACAAATACGAACAACGCGCGCGTCACAGTAATTATTGAATGGTTACGTTTGACGAGTTACCATACAATACGAAACAATTCGTAAATCGGATATAGAACAGCACAGTTTAAATTCACACGATAGGCGATACCCAAAAAGTCCCCACGGACGTCAAAGCAGCGACGTCCGATGACAAGCGAGACAGGGTAGTAGACACACCGGCTCGCCGGCACAACATGCAAAATATCCAGCCAGATAACACGTCGGGCGGGAAGGGGAATACGCAAGTTTAGTCGGCAGGCAAAGTCACCTGGTACCGATAGCGGTACGAGTTTAACGACGGATTGCGTAAACAGGTAGTATACTGATAAAAATAACCAAGAAAATTTACATCTAATTAAATTAATTAAAATKTTTTTTAATAAAATTTTTTTATAAAAATAATCAATATTTAAATAGTTAAGGTTCTAGGCGGAGCAATGAATANAAAATCTACCATTCATATCTCGTTATAATTTTTGTGTAAATATAATCTTAAATAATCCTATAAAACTGTATCGCCCGCTYGACATCGACCGATAGTCGATAATAGTTATTATTTCAGTTTAGTCGATTATTATCCGTCGTTGTTTCGCCTGTCGCGTGCTTTTCACTAGTGTAGATTTTTATACGCAAAATATAAAACCTTTAAATAATTGTTGAAATGCCGAAAGTACAAAAGTCGTCAAAGTTACAAAGTTATGTTTCAGAATTTAAAGACACATTTTCGTCTAACGGTAGTGTTTTGTTTTGTAAATTTTGCGAAATAAAAGTTGGAAGTGACAAACGTTTCAATGTCGTCCAGCATCTAAGGACTGACAAGCATAATAGAGCAGTTAAACGGGAAGAAAATAAAATAAATAAGGTAAACCAGCAGTTTGTTTTAAACACTAACCTGGGCAAAAAGAATAATTTTAACAAAGATTTATGCAAGGCTTTGCTTTCGTCAAATATTCCCCTCAATAAATTATCAAACAACGAATTTAAATGGTTTTTAGAAAAATACACGAATGAAGATATACCTAGTGAAACAACACTTCGTAAAGGTTACTTTGACGATATTTACCAAGAGACTATTTTAAAAATTAGGGCGATTGTCAACGGAAAACGAATCTGGGTTTCAATTGACGAGACTACGGACGCCTCTGGGCGTTTTGTAGCAAATGTTATTATTGGAACACTAGAGATTGATAACGCCGGTCAAATATTTTTATTGCATTCCGAGGAACTTGACAAAACTAACCATTCAACAATATTCAAATTATTTGATAAAGCTATGGGGATATTGTGGCCTGAAGGAGTTGAACATGACAATGTATTATTGTTTGTGAGCGATGCAGCCCCTTATATGATTAAGGMGGGTAAAGCTATACAAACACTTTATTCAAAAGTTATTCATATTACCTGCCTTGTACATGCATTTCACAGGCTCGCTGAAAAAGTTCGTGACGAATTTTCGGAAGTAGATAAGGTAGTATCTTCAGTGAAAAAAGTATTTCGAAAATCTMCCTTACGTATAAAAACATTTTTAAATATGACAAAAAACGAGATTCCTTTACCGCCTGAACCCATACTAACAAGATGGGGAACTTGGATAAATGCTACCATATACTATTGCGAAAATTTGGAGAACATTCATTTAGTTATAAAAACATTCGACAGCGATGACGCCGCTTCAATTAAGACAGCCAAAAAGTATTTGGAAAAGAATAACCTACAGTGTAACTTGGCATTTATTAAATCGAATTTCGGATTTTTACCCAAATCTATAACATTTTTGGAAAAGAAAGGAATAAAATTATCCKATTCATTAAAAACGGTCGAAGATGCGAAAAATAAAATTGTTGACTTAAAATGTACAAAAGGCAAAGCAGTCGTAAAGAAGTTAAATGACGTTTTAGAAAAAAAATCCTGGTCACTAATCTTTATTAAAAATTTCAAAAATTTAAAGCGGTGAAGTTGAAGATATGGAAGGATTGCCTGAAGACTTGACAAGTMATGATCTGGTTTATTTTATGTATGCTCCAATGTCGTCTGTAGATGTYGAAAGAAGTTTTTCCGTCTATAAAAATTTACTATCAAGTAATCGTCGTAGATTCACGTTTGAAAACTTCAGGAAATATCTTATTGTGCAGTGCAATTTTCAAGGTAAAGAAATTAATAAAATAATAAGAATTAAAACATTTAAATATTTAAACATTATTTTATTTTTACTTTAGGATCGGAAGACACGGAAGAACACTAAAATTTAAACCAATTATCTTATAAAAAATTCAATTTATTATATCATTTTCAATTCAAGTAATAATATTCTTATATAATATAAATTCTAATAAAATAAATATTTAATTTTATCACATATTTGTTATACCTATTTTTTGGGGGCCATATCTTAATACATAGGTATACGGTTATTTTTAGGTGCATATTTTAGAGCATATTTGGTCATTTTTTGGTGCATATTTGCATGCATATTTAGGTATTTTTTAGAGCTACAAGTCCCTAAGCCTAGTTATGTACCTACTTATGTCTCGTTATACATGTATGACTTATGTCTTATGATGCACACACTCCTATGTAAGTATTCAATATT